CCAGTAGGACTGTCTTTCTGTGATTTTCCAGTACTCTTTGCCCTGGCAAAGACATTCACTTGGACAAAGCCAAAAATGCACAATGTACTATGGACCACAGAAGTGACTTCATTCCACAGTGAAGTCACCTGACTGCTTTTCTCCAAGAGCTCACACCACACAGTGGGACTGACATTGGTCCCTGTTTTTAGACATTTCGAACCCAATTCTTCACCGCTGGCCAGACAACATAAATAATTCATTATGTTTCCGGACTTGAGGAATAAAGCCACCAATTACCAACAGAATTTTCAGAACTGTTCAAATGCTCAGTTTTAGTAGATATTTCTTTTTTTTTTTTTTTTTTTTATATTTTTATTTATTTCTAGGAGAGAGAGAAACAGCGTGAGCAGCGGAGGGTCAGAGAGAGAGGGAGTCACAGACTGAAACAGGCTCCAGGCTCTGAGCTGGCAGTCAGCACAGAGCCCGACGCGGGGCTCGAACCCACGAACCGCGAGATCATGACCTAAGCGAAAGTCGGACGCTTAACCGACTAAGCCACCCAGGCGCCCCTAGTAGATATTTCTTAAAACAGTAGCTGAATGTTACTGAGTTAAATTACTGCATAAATACTGAAGAGGAGGAAAGACCAGGAAGGCAGAGCCCCTGCCCTCAACAGTCTCACGGTCACTGACAGAGACCTAAGCATTAAAGTGAAGTACCAGGAGCCAGCTCACCGCACTGCAGAAGATGTAAGTGGGAAGAGCTGTTGAGGAACAAGGACGGGAATGAAGACGGATGGGGAGGAGGGAGAGGCACAGCACAGAAGTTCAGGAAAAGAGGCTCAAGAGGGGAAACCACATGTTTGGGGCCTGACTACAGCCCACCATGTAGCAGAAGAAGGTGGCAGGGGATATAGAGGGAAATAGAGATTCGGGTCAGACGGTGAAGATCACGAATGCCAAGTGGAATGTGGCATTTATGCAGTAGGCAACTTTGAAAGCAATGCTGTACGAGTCACAACTCTTGTTTGGGCCAGGTGGTATCTAAAAGGGAAGTTATATTTTGCAAGTCAGAGAAATAGGAGACCCAGGCAGTCCTAGACACTCCCTATGCAAAGAAAGCAAGAGTCTGGACAAACCAAGAACGGCTGAAAACCCACAGAGTAAAATGGACAAATAAGCAAGTACCCTTCCCACTCTGTCTGAATTCCTAAACATAGAGAAACAAAGTATACCAGGAGGGTCTTAATGGAAATGCAAAGCTTCACTCCAGGCCCTGTGCAGTCACGGGGCAGACCACAGTCCCCAACCACGGCCACGTACGCAGGCAGGCAGATTAGCAAAAAAAATAAGTGTGAAAAAAGTTCTTAAAGTTAGCAGGGCTTGTAAAACCCTCGATACCTTTGCTGGATCTCTTTGATGTCTTCTTGTTTCCTTCAGAGGTAATTTCAATTTCATCAGGATTACCCCCTTCATCTTCAATTGCCTAAAGAGAAGATCAAAAAAAAGTTAAGCAAAAAAGGCAACACGCAGACTTGACTTTCACAGAAACCTCAGAAAAGGGCTCCCCCTGACTCATTTGTGGTCCAGCTCTATGTTGGAACAATGATTCCGGAGTCAGACTCTACTAGTCCCTAGCCATATGGGCTAAGGCAGATTTACTTACTCTGAAGAGCTCACTCTGGAACATGAAGCTAATAAAAGTACTCACCCCAGAAGGTTGTTCTGAGAACCCTATCATCTGTGTAAGTCAAGCGATCAACATTCCGCTTTATTTTTTCTTCTTTTAATACTACCATCACCATAACCTACTGGACCAAGGGGAACTCAAAAAGGGAAAAGCCCACTCTTCCATTTCCTACCACTTCACCCAGCAATGTGACCCCTACCCCCACCATGCCCACACTTGGCCCTGTCTGGACACAGTACTTACTAACGCTCACAGGCTGAGATCATACGGTGTGTGCCACAAGCCTGTGTTGACGTGTGTTACCTCATCAGGTCACCCACACCTATGACTGACTCCAAAGGTCTTGCTCTTAACCTTTTGGGGAAACACCTGAAAGGATGCAGAGTTACAAGGCTCTCTTGGCAAGCCGGGCCTGCCACCCTGAGAGCCCATCACTCACACCCAGCCTAGCTCCAAGGAGGCACTCCGCACACTGCTACTGAGGTAGTCACTGACGACATCCCGGATGCTGGGCTTTCCTTTCAGGTTTTACTGACACCCCCCCCTCCCGTCCGCTCACCACTCTACTGTCCCAGGAGCACAAGTTCTATTCAAACCCCCTTCAAGGAACATGTTTTGTTCGCAGACGGTTTCAGAAGTTCCCAATTCTAAGGAGCTTCCCAGTGTGGACGTCTGAATTTGAAGTGGGTCTTAGCTCCACGTCCAATCCATACCAGGAACAAAGAAAATCTCTCCCTTCTCTAAAGCCAGAGCAAGGAGGAAGAATAGGAACTTCTGCTCTGGGACCCAGGAAAGCACACCCGGAAAGCCCTCCCCCCTCCCCCCTCTTGCTGGCAACAGAGGACTCTGGAATAGTGCAGGGGGAACAAAAGGTGTGCCGCTGTGCCCCTCCATACGGCTCCCCTGGGTGCAGGGTTTACAGCACCATCCCTAGGGACACTGTGGGCTCTGAGTCATCCTTTCAGGGCTTGGAAAAACTGCACTCTTTGTGCTCCTCCACCCTTTCCTCATTTCCTTCCTGGAAAAATGACTGGAAAAGGGACACTAGATGCTAAAAATGAGAAGGAGAGAGAAGATTAATAATTGCAGCCTTGCTACTGCAGGGTAGCAGACAAACATAAATGCTGACATTTATATACTTTCCCTGCACCCCTAAGAAAATGGAAGGGTAGAGAAGCAGGACACGGCTGGCAGAGGACAGTGCTGGGGGGCCCCTGGAGCCGCACACCAGTCTCAGCCCCCCACTGGGCAGGAAGGCTCAATGCCATCCTAACAGCTCTGCGCCCCTGCGGCCTGTCTGGGGTGAAAAGAGGATAAAGGCCCCAATTTGGCTTTGCTGAGCCGGGGCCCTGGTGGCTGGGAACACACGGACTACCTCTCCCCAGTGCCAACCCTCATCCTCCCGGCATCTTTCTGGGTAAATATCTTGTTGACGAGCTTCGCCGTGTCTTGAACAAAGGAGGTTAGTCTCCATGGTGAAGAAAACACCAGCTCGAGTTGGAAAGGCCCCACTGGCTCTGGGCTAATCAACTCCCCTTCCCGAGTCCACGCTTCCTCATTCGGAGAATAGGAAACCCCTGCTTCCTCTTACTAGTGATCCGCAACAAATAAAACCCTAACACCCATTGTTCGGGGGCCAGGAGGGTGGAAAGAGTAAGTCACACAGTCCGCAGGGGCTGTGACTCCGGGCGGGGGGTCCCCAGACACTAACAGGTGGATCACAGGAATAGGGAAGAAGGGAGACGGGGGCCCAGGCACTTCACTAACTCCTCATACTTCTCACTTTTCACGCCGTCCCTCACAACGCCTGAGGTTGGGGTGACAGCCCTGGCTCGGCAAATAAACGGCACAGAGGACGCTGAGCTGTAACCCCATCAAACCTCGCTGTGCGAGGTTACATGCCAAGCCCGTTCGCGCGACCGTCCCTTCTTCCTACAGACTAACCCGGCTGCGGCGGCGCCAAGTGTCGTCCATGCCCATGATCGGGCCACAGAGACCAGAGCCCAGACACAGGGACGGAGCCCCGAGGCCGCCTCCGCGCTCCTACCAACGTCTTTCACGTTTATGGTCGCTATGTAAACACTCCTTTCCTTTCCCCGTTATCTTCTGGACCTACGGCTGGCCAATCCACAAACCGCTTTTCCTTATTCCTTTCTCCTAATCGCTCGAAAGCGCCCTTAGCCCGCCTGCTTTGGAAATGAACCCTCTACTCAAGCTCCGCTGGCCTTAACGGGCCAAGGAGCATCCACGTCTCCAGAGAATGCCCGGCGGCCAGCGCGGGCCCAGGAAACCCGCCGGCCCAGGTTCCGATCCCGACGCCTCGTCTCCACGGCCGTGTGACCTTGGCCGAGTCCCCCAACCTCGCTCAGGAAAAGAGAGGTTCCGCGCTTTCCGTCATTTTTGCCGGCCGCGATGGGGACAATGAGCGGAAGGCCCTGCGCGCAGTGGCCGGTGCGGAAAAGAGGAGCCCGCGGCCTAGGTGCCCCGCCGCCCGCCGCTGCAAGGCCGCGGCGCTGCCCCGGGTTCGCGCCGAGACTTCCTTCCCGCTCCCGAGAAGCGCGGCGTTCCGCACCCGAGCCCCACCGGGCTGCGCGCTCCCGCCGAGGCCTCGGAGGAGCCGGGAAGAAGCCCGGCGCGCCGGGCCAGGCGCAGGCCCCGAGAGGGACCGGAGATGGACCCAGAGACCAGGGGACTCCCGTCACGGCCGCGCCGACCACCCCCCCACCGCATGTCCGCCCCCCAGGGCCCCAGCTCCACCTTTTTGAGCCGCTCCATCAAAACGCTCTTATTGCCGCTCGAGTCCAGATTTCGTTTCCTCAGCTCCGCCCGCAGATCGATCACCCGCAGGTCGCTGAGGCGCCGCGTCCCGGTCTCGGACGAGGCAGAGCTCAGAGCCGCTGCGCTCGCCGCACCCGAATCGCCTAGGCCTGAGAGAGTCTCCGCCATTCCAGGGACCCTGGCTCCGCCGCCCACTTCACACAGAACCGGGCCGGTTTTATCACGGCTTCCAGCACAAAATGGCGCCGCCTGCGAGGGAACCGCTCCAGCCGCCCTGGCGCGCCTCGCTTCTGCGCAAGCGCACCCGGCGCGGAGCCGACGCCGCCGGTCGCGTCTGCACATGCGTGGTGAGCGCTCAGAGGGATATGCGCAGGCGCGTTGCAGCTCGCCAGCCTCCCGCCGCGGACGGCGGTCACACATGCGTGCTGCAGTTTTGGCGCCTGCGCGTTGGGGTGGGGAACGTGCGGTTGGTCGACGCGCGAGCGCGCCTGCTGCTAATAAAGCTGGCGTGTGAGGCACGCATGCGCGGCCGGAAAGTGGGGCGGGAGAAAGCGAGTGCGTTTTCCTCTTAGGCGGCGCCATTTTGTGCTCAGAGCCGCTACAGCCGCCGGCGGTGTGGGGGGTAGGTGGCGGGGACGCGGAGCCTGGGATGGCGGAGACTCTGGCAGGCTCCGGCGAGTCGGGTTCTGGCACAGCCGCTGTGGGATCGGGTGCCACGGAGACTGGGACGCGGCGCCTCAGCGACTTGCGGGTGATCGACCTGCGGGCGGAGCTGAAGAAGCGGAACCTGGACACGGGCGGCAACAAGAGCGTCCTGATGGAGCGGCTCAAGAAGGTAAGGCAGCTCGACGGCCTGGGGTGGTGCGGAAGGTCAGGGCACGCCCCCGCGCGGGCCTGTCACCCGCGATTCCCGGACCCGGATCCCTTTCCTCCTCTCATCCTTGTGACCGACCCCTGCCCGAGCTCGCGGGGACCAGGGGGCCGGCTGTGTGACCTTGGCCCGTCACCGCCCCTCTCTGTGTCTCGTCTTGGGTCCTCTTTCCAGCCGGTCCCCTCGAGTGCTGAAAGCGCGTCTCGATGGCCACCGACTGGCCCCTGGACTTGTCCCGGGGTCCGGTGGGAGACTCGGTTCTGTGACCTTGGGTGGGTGCCGCCTCCTCCCTGCGCCTCGGTTTCCGCTCCTGGAGAACCGAGGACCCTCGGAGATGTTACAGGAGAGCGAGTTGTGCCGGTTCCCATTCCGGGGTGTTTGCTCTCGACCGCCCTTCTTCCAGATCGTCTTCTGGCTGGTGCCGGGCAGTCACCTCTCGGCTTATCCGAGCTGGTTCCCCAACAGGCTTCCTAAAGCGCCGCGCCGTCTCCCCGCTGCTGCATCGCACTCTTCTGTTTGTGCCCCTCCGGCCGCGCTCATCCCAGCCCTGGGCGGGGGGCGGCGGGTCGTTGCGGAACCGGACTTTACCTTCAGTGCCCAGTCCCGCCCAGTGGCATGTCGACCACCGCGCCGCCCGTTACGGAGGGTGGACCTGGTGCGGCGTCTCCGTGGTGGGGCGATTTTTAGGGGTCGTTTTGGAACTGGTCATTGACCCCTCCCCCGCACTCGGGAACCCCCGTTCACCCATCCCTTTGTCTTCCGTGCTTCGGGCCCGGGGAGTACCAGGTTGTGCCGGTTTCATTCCGGGCCCCTTGGGCTCGCAGCCCAGGGAACAGAACCCGAGGCGCCCTTTGCAAGGAAGGCTCGGACTTCGCGGGGTGTTGGTAAAGCCGTGTGCCCTGCAGCTCCGCAACTTTGTTACATTTTCTCTCCTCCAGGCGGTTAAGGAAGAAGGGCAGGATCCTGAAGAAATGGGGGTCACGCTGGAAGCCACCAGCAAGAAGACTGTGAAAAGATGTGTCAAAGGTATCGGCTTGTGCCTGTCGCTGCCTGAGGCCTGAGTGTGGGGCGACCTTGCTGACAGCACCAGGCCTTGAGCTCCGATTCTGTCCTCGGTCGGGAGGAGGAGGTTCTGATCCAACGGTGTGCTTGCCTTCTGTTTTCTCCGTCTAAGAGTCGTTCTGGGAGCGGTAAGATGCGCCATGCTAGGGATGCCTGGGCTCTGGCGCGGGGCTGGAGCTCTTGAACCTGCTGTGGCTGCTGCTTGGTTCAAAAATCAGGGTTGAAACCGAGGGAAATGATAACCAGCGTGAGACTAGAACCCGGCTTCTCTAGGGTCCAAAAGAGATTGTTGGGAGCATTTACACCCTGCCTTTTTTTCACCAGTGAGTTGTTTCTTGCTTGTTTGTTTTTAAGACTTTATTTGTAAGCAATCTCTATGCCCAACTTAAAACCCCTGAGGTCAAGAGTTACATGACCAGCTGACTGAGCCTGCCAGGGCCTCTGCAGGGAAATGGTTTTTCTCTCTTTCCTTCCTTGCTTCCTTTCAGATCTCATTCAAATACTATAAAAATTCACCCGTGTACAATTTGTTGATGTTTAGTGTATTCACAAGGCTGTGCCGCTGTCAACACTATGTAATTCTAGAACATTTTCATCACCCGAACAGCAGTCGCTGTGCCTATTAGCATTTGCTCCCCATGTCACTGGTGTCCCCCCCCCCCCAATTCCAGCCCCTGGAAGTATGTAATTGTTCCGTTTCATGCAAATAGAACCGTAGGATATGTGGCTTCTGTGCCTAGCTTCTTGCATTCAGTATGTTTTCAAGATTTTTCCAGTTTGCGACATCTGTCAAAGCTTCGTTTCTTTTCCTGGATGGGACCAGCTATTTCTGGAAGAATTTAATCCCATAAAACTATGAAACCTTGTTACTGTCCCCTCGGTCTTCCTCCTCTCAGATTTTGTACAGAGAAGGACAGTCTAACTTGGAACTTGCACGTGATGTGGGTTATTTTCTTGAAAAGTGCCACCCCAGAGATTCTCCAAGCAGGACATAACCCTGTTGGTCTGAAAAAGTTAAACGCAGACGCTTATAAGGGGAAAAGAAAGTGATTTGTAGCATTTTCAGTAACTCCAGTTTACTTTTTAGAAGAGCTGTTCTAGAAAGGCTTTTGCATGACTCATCTGTTTAAAACTGTGCATTTTGAAAGGTTAAACTTGTGAATTAGGTTGCGTTTTATATGTTTTTATACATTTTTTAATACATTAATGTGTTCCTGCCACGCTCCTCCCGGTCTGGTGTGTGTGCTGACTGGTCCGAAGAATGCACACTGAGAGCACTGTATCTGTTAGTTTAGAAGCTGTTTGTGAAAGTTCTTAATGTAGGTGCTCATTTAAAAAGCTTGGGAGGGGGCGCCTGGGTGGCTCAGTCGGTTGAGTGTCTGACTTCAGCTCAGGTCATGATTTCACAGTCCGTGGGTTCGAGCCCCGCGGCGGGCTCTGTGCTGACAGCTCAGAGCCTGGAGCTGCTTCGGATTCTGTGTCTCCCTCTCTCTCTGACCCTCCCCTGCTCATGCTGTTTCTCTCTCTCTCTTGAAAATAAATAAAACATCAGAACTTTAAAAAAAAAAAAGCTTGGGAGATTCAAGGCTTACTAGTCAAAATATCTTTGGCTCTTCAAAGGGTTCTTTGTATCATTAGACAAAACGAATCATGGCGGGATGCTTCCAACGCGGGTCTGAATGTGTGGGTTGCAGTTTTGGTGACATTAAAAGCACTTGGACTTACCATTTTGTCCAAAAAAGCTTTGATGATATTACTTCTGCTGGTGTAAAGAAATGTTTATACTAGTACAGCCATAGCTGGAATTAGAGGGACACTAGTCCCTTCCCCCACCTTTTTTTTTTTTTTTAACATTTTTATTTGTCATTGAGAGAGAGAGAGCGAGAGAGAATGAGCAGGGAAGGGGCAGAGAGAGGGAGACAGGACCTGAAGCAACTCTAGGCTCTGAGCTGTCAGCACAGAGTCGGACACGGGGCTCGAACTCACAGAGCACGAGGTGATGACCTGAGCCAAAGTCAGACACAACCGATTGAGCCACCCAGGCACCCCCCGCCTCCCATTTCTTTTTCTGAAGAGTCACCAAAGCCCCAGAGAGGAAACAGGAGGCCAGAGTCCTGAGGCAGAGGACGGCTCCAGGCGGCATGCTCTTCGCAGGTGCTGGCCCACGTGGGCGGTCGTGTAGGGTGCTAGACCCTCTTGTGTCCTGGCTGAAGTTAGATCTTCAGAGGTTACGTAAAAGTGAAAAGTAGCTAAACTTTGAACGGGTAGAGGAGCTTGTGGATGTGATTTTGAAAGATTGCCGCTCTGATCTAGGTTTTAAAAGCTTTACTGTCCCCCACCCCTTCAGCTTGTAGCCTCCAGAACCAGGCCCTTGGAATTGGGGTGCGGCCTCCGCCCGGCTTGTGCCATTCCCATTCTCCTTTAGGCGCTTTTCGCTGAACCTTTTCGGTCTGCATCTCCCCTGTTTACATCCTCCGTGGGTACCGCAGGCGACTGTTTAGAGGTCCTGAAAGCAGGTGCAGCCGCCAAACATTTTCAGAGCGTGGGTTGCAAGAGGGCGTGTGGGGTTCCCGTGTGACAGGATGGCTGCACCTGAGTCTGAGAGCCATGCCAAGTTCGCGGCTGTCAGATGTAGCTAATAAACCCACTGGTGTAGTGGGAGCGTTAATATAAGGAGGACAGCGCCTGACAGGTGATAAAGCCACACGTCGTGAATGAGTGTTCATGGTGGCACAAAAGGTGCATCAGCGGGTACGTTCTATGTTTGGATCTGTGCTCAGAGACTGAGGTTTCTTCTGTTTCCTTTTCTCCTTTCAAAAAATTATAGAGGAGAGTTTTTGCTACTTTCGAACCTGCATTAGATACTTTTTAAGTTTACTTATTTTGACAGACAGTGCTAGGGGCGGAGGGGCAGAGAGCAGGGAAGAGAGAGAGAATCCCAAGCAGGCTACAGGCTGCCAGCCCAAAGCCTGACATGGGCTTGAACCCACAGAACCGTGAGATCATGATCTGAGCAGAAACCAAGAGTCGAATACTTAACTGACTGAGCCCCCCAGACGCCCCCTGGACGTACTGTACTTGATTGGTGTTTTTTCGTAACTTTGTAGGCATTTTCCCGTAACTTTGTAGGTGTTTTCCCATGTTGTTAAATATTCTTTAGAAGCGTGATTTTTTTTTCTTTTTCAAGACCTTGTATGGTGTGCCACACTGTTTTGCGAACTTGGCACTGTTGGCAATTTGGGGTAAGCATTCTTTCTATCCTGTGCACGGTCTTAGGATGCAGAGCATCCCTGGTCACTAGCCACTTAGATGCCAGGAGCACCTCCCGGTTGTGACACCAAAAGTGTCTCCAGTTGTGGCCAAATTCCACCTGACTTCCCCTGTTGAGAGCACCTGGCGTCCCACATGTAAACAGACTGTCAGGATTTGTTTCCCCTTTGCTTGTTTGGACTGTGTAAGCTGTCCGAGAGGGTACTTTTGTTTTTCTTGCCTTGCCAGACATTTTAGTTTAAGCACTTGCTTCCAGAAGGGAATCTCTACGATAAAAAGCACACACAATTTTAAGGCTTTTGGTCCACAATGGAGCCCAAAGATTTTACTTCCCTTCTAAGCTTGGAAGCTTCCACCCTTCTTCTCCAGCCCCTCTTGGGAGTACTTAGCGCTAATCCTAAGTAGTTCTTCCACCTTTACAAGATCCAGGACGACCATTGACTTTGTGGTAGCCTTTACCTTTGCACCTTGCAAAGAAAAGCTCCTGGTCCGGAGAATGAGGAACGGTGGTCGGCCTGCCCGACGTGGGGGAGCGTAGGGAGGAGAACAGGTTAATCTAGGCTTTCCGGGCGCAGCACTTTGATCAGCAGGTGGACGTTGCATTTGTAAATGTCTGTTGAAAAATGCCTCTTCAGCCTTTACTCGTTTTTCTTTTGGGGTGTTTTTTGTGGTTTGGGGTGGTTTTGGGGTATTTTGAAGCTTTTAGATATTTTGTGCAAAATCAAAACGCTTTGATAATAGCATCCCGGTTGCAGCAGAATTGCACACGGTGGGAGAACGGGTACTTCTTTCGTTTACTTGTAGCGTGTCGGCGCCCAGATTGAAATCTGTTAGTCTGTGTGAACCAGTTAGGAGGCCAGAGCCCGAGCGTTAATCTGACTGAAAAATTATTTTGTAATTAGGACAAAAGATGGAGGAAGAAGGCGCAGAAGACAACGGCCTGGAAGAAGATTCCAGAGATGGGCAGGTACGTGACAGCAGCAGCAGAGACGCCGGCAGGGGTTCCAACGCCAGCTCTCCGGTCAGTGGCGCCTCTCGTTCTCTTCCCAGGAGGAGGCGGAGGCGGGTTTGGAGAGCCTGCGGAGCGTGGACGTGGTGGAGGTCGGGGTGTTGGAGGAGAGCGAGGCTGAGAACAGCGCCGCTCCAGACTTTGGGGAGGACGCCGCCGCCGGCGTCCTGGGTTCCCTGTGCGACGGCCCGGACTACGCGGCGGCCCGGCTGCGGGAGCCCCCCGCGCAGCTCGCAGAGCACGCTGTAGGTAACTTGAAGACGCGGTGGAATGTGCCAGCGGCCCCCCGGCGCCCGCGGGCTGCTCACGTGCGCCAGGACGGGCGCCCTGCTGGCTGGTTAGCCAGTGTCCAGCTCTGTCGCCGTCACCACGGACACTGGGTTTGGTGTCTAAACCTCTGTGGCAAGTTCCGTCCATTGAAACTGCTCAGAAGACTGATATCAGCTACTGGAGAGCATCCCTGCGGTTCTGGGGAACGTTTTCAGCAGTTGGTGGGAGGCACTTCTACGCCTAAGTCTGAAAAGGCTGATTACTTAAAGTATTTTCCTTTGGAAAACAGATTCCAAAACTATGTAGAAAGATAAGAAAACAGTTCATGATCTCGTTGCTTGGATTATCCTGTTGGGTTTTTTGTTTGTTTGTTTGTTTTAAGAGTAACTTGGGGTTTGGGGCGCCTGGGTGGCTTAGTCGGTTAGGCGTCCGACTTTCACTTGGGTCATGATCTCGTGGTTCGTGGGTTCGGGCCCCGCGTCGGGCTCTGTGCTGACTGCCAGCTCAGAGCCTGGAGCCTGTTTCAGAGTCTGTATCTCCCTCTCTCTCTGACCCTCCCCTGCTCACGCTGTGTCTCTCTCTCTCTCTCCTAGAAATAAATAAAAACCTTAAAAAAAATTAAAAAAAAAAAGAGTAACTTGGGGCACCTGGGTGGCTCAGTCAGTTAAGCATCTGACTTCAGCTCAGGCCATGGTCTTACAGATCGTGGATTCAAGCCCCACGTCAGGCTCTGAGCTGACAGTCCAGAGCCTGGAACCTGCTTTGGATTCTGTGTCTCCCTCTCTCTGCCCTTTCCCCACTTACTCTCTGTCTCTTAAAAATGAGTAAACAATGGGGCGCCTGGGTGGCTTAGTCGGTTAAGCGTCCAACTTTCGCTTAGGTCATGATCTCACGGTTCGTGGGTTCGAGCCCCGCGTCGGGCTCTGTGCTGACTGCCAGCTCAGAGCCTGGAGCCTGTTTCAGAGTCTGTGATTCCCTCTCTCTCTGACCCTCCCCTGCTCACGCTGTCTCTCTCTCCTAGAAATAAATAAAAAACATTAAAAAAAAAAAAAACCTGCATGTACCAGGCTAAAGTTATACAGCAAAGAAAAGTACTTGTGCCCTCAGATGAATCCCCTCCTGTTAAAGGAAAACCACTTTTAAAGTTTGATGGTGGTTGTTTTTTTTCTTACTGATTTTGAGAGAAAGAATCCCAAGCAGGCCCTGCCTGCGGGGCTCCCATCTCACGAACTGGGAGATCATGACCTGAGCCAAAACCAAGAGTCCTCCACTTAACCAACTGAGCCACCAAGGCACCCCAGGAAGACCACTTTTAACGTTAACATCTTTGTACGTAAAGGAGGGCTTTGATCCCGTTACCAGTGTTGCTTTCTCAGGCCTTCACGTCTAGGGTTTGGTGGAAACCTGGGCGGCCTTGCTAAAACTGATTGCCATTTTTGTCTTACCTCCTTGGCATACTCAGCCCTCTTAGTTTAGTTGGTATTTTTGGCTTGTGTTTTGTTTTGTTTTCCTTGACTGGTCTAGCTTTAAACTGGGGAAAAAAGCGCCCTCGTGGGAGTGAACTTTAAACCTTAAAGGTCAAAAATCAACAACTCCAAACATCACTGCATCCCTGCCTAGGGTGCTGTTGAGCAATGGGCTTGCTGTCCTCCCGCAGTGCGATCCTGGTGTATGTTATTTCCAAGCATGAACTTGGTTTCTCACTTTTTGGTTAATCAGATCATGCAGGTCATAAGCTGCAAACCTAGGGGCGCCTGGGGGGCTCAGTCGTTTGAGCGTCTGACTTTAGCTTGGGTCACAGTCTCATGGTTTGTGAGCTCAAGCCCCGTGTCAGGCTCTGTGCTGACAGCTCAGAGCCTGGAGCTGCTTCAGATTCTGTGTCTCCCCTTCTCTCTGCCCCTCCCATGTTCATGCTCTGTCTCTCTTGTCTCTCCATGATAAACCTAAAAAAAATTTTTTTTTAAAGATGCAAATCTGGAAAAGGAAACACATTTGGAAAGGCATATTTTTGTATTTCACTTAAGAAGGTAAAAAGCTTTCAAACTGAGTAAAGTATAAGATACCAATTTCGTTAAATGTTTAAGTAAAGCCTCCTAGGAGAAAGTGCCCTGTTGGTGGTGGTTTTAAAGGTATTGTTACCAAGTGAAATCAGAGAAGTGTGACATTTTCATTTTTCTTTGAGTTCTGCTCTGCCAGTCACGTCTGGGTCACGTATGTGGACCACCAGGAAATAGAAACTGCCTGGGAAATAACTTTGTATGGTCATGGGGGACCCTGTCAGGGGCCGGCACCGCCCAGTCCTGGGGCAGGTGGGGAGGCCGGCGATAAACCGAACAATCCAATAGTGAGCTTGCAGGTGGCAGTGGGCACTGTGAGGGAAATGCGCACGTAAGTTGCTTAGAAACCAGCAAGGTATATAGGCCTTGGCCTTTATAACTCTGTCTCCATTAGATGGTCTTCCATTTTGTCTTTCAGGTGGACGGGGAGGCCTTCGAGAACACTTTGGATGCTTCATCATTGGACTTCAAGGTACCTACGGTGAGTTCCCACCTGGTTGTGCATGGTGGGAAACGTTAGGCAAGTGGTTAATATTCTTTAGTGAAAGAGGATGTGCGTCTGTGTAAAAAAAGATTCTTTTGAGCACTGATTTTTAGCCAAGGTCCTGGGGTGAAGGGTGAAGCAAACAAGTTACAGTGTGACTGTACTCCAGTGGCGGCAGCCTTAATACCGAACAAGAAAGTAACTAGAAGGGGAAAGAAGGTCATTGAGGGAGAGGGCTAGGTGGCTGTACAACGAAAACTTGTGAGAGGCTTCAGGGAGGAAGCCCTACCCAGATCGAGGTCGGACACGTCCGTCAGGAATTAATCCAGCGAAGGGGGAAAGAGGACTTTGGGCCCAAAGGCAGAGTGGCTGGTTGTAGGGATGGAGGGTGCAGGGGTGAGATGGCAGGTGGCGGTGGGCCTGACTCCTCACATCTGGAGGCCAGGGGAGAGGTCTGGCCCGCTCTCTTAAGTACAGTGGGAAGTCAGGGAGGGGCTTTGAGAAGAGCAAGCAGTTTGGTTGTCAGGTTCCAGTTATAAATAACAGCTTCTCTGCGGAGAGCTGGATCTTACTGAGACCTGGTGTGATGTGTAAAGCAGTAGTCGTCTGTGTGACCTCTCCCTCTGGCCGCTGCCTCTGCCCTATCCCGGGGACCTTAGCTCAGGCTTGGGACAGGGCGGCCAGACCCTCACGGGCTGAGCGTCACTGCCGCCTCCCGGGCTTCGCAGGGGGGAAGCCGGCACAGCGGGCTTGTCCTCGGGGCAGTCATCCCAGAACGCACTGAGCTGTCTGGACTGGAGAGCACCCTTCAAAACGCACTTGTGCACACTTGACCAAAGCGGTGTCTGCCGGGGAAGGGTGTAGCCCTGTGTCTAAGCGCCTTGTGGATTTTTTTTCTCTTTTCTGTTTTAAAACAGGACGTTGAAGACCCTCTGCTGGAGCCAGGTACTGATAAGAGAGACACGAAGTTAATGGTTTGAAAGTTTCCCCACTCTTGTTTTTCAAGCTTTCTGTATATCCTAAGCTGTGTATGGTCGTGTAAACTATTTTAATGGTGGACAATCCAGATCGTACCAGGATCAGAGATTGGAAACCCACTAGTATCACCAGATCTGTGGAAGTGCCGTTCTGGTTTCTGGAGGTCAAATATATTTGGTGAGATGTAGTGATTATTGTCATCTCTATAACCACGTAGAGTGGCATTTAAGTAATTTCCCCCCATGATTCTTCCATGTGTTTCTACACATGAAACAGATCTTGTGATATTTTGCCGCAGTCTTTCTGAGTGATACAGTTAAGGCAGGATAAAAAGCGGTTGTCAGGGCACTTTTAACCTGAGAAGTGACTGGAATCTAGAAGAGGAAACCAGATCTTCTTCAGGAAGATTTCTAACGTGTCACTCCCCTTCCGGACTGCGTGCATATCACCTACCGTTGGAAGAGATTCTGGGTTTCATGTCGGACTGTCCCGTTAAAAGACATTCGAAGACATTTGGAAATTGAGCTGTCGTCGAACGGTGACCACACTCGGTTCCGCACCTCAGACTCTGGGAAGATAAGTCGAAGACCCACATTTGAACTAAAATCCAAAGAAGACTGTCGAGAAGCAGCCACGCGGTTGTAGGTGTTTAAATCTGTGGGGGCCTTTTCTCTCCCGTGTAGCGTAGCGGCTTACCGTAGCAGTCGGTTGGAGCGCAGGTAGTGTAACGAGTGTCACTTTGTGTACCCGCGGGTTTTCCAATCTCTGTGTAGCTAGCGGTTCTCTTCGTGTTAGTGTGGCGGCCGTGCCAGTTCCGCATTTGTGATTGCTTTATTTCCCTGGTAATTAAACCTTGTGCCATTCTATTCCTGTTAAATCCGTAGAAAATGAGAAAATACTCGACATTTTGGGGGAAACTTGTAAATCTGAGCCAGTAAAAGAAGAAGGTTCCGAGCTGGAGCAGCCCTTTGCACAGGATACAAGTAGCGTGGGGCCAGACAGAAAGCTTGCGGAGGAAGAGGACCTTTTTGGCAGCGCCCACCCGGAGGAGGGTGATTTAGATTTGGCCAGCGAGTCAACGGCACAAGCTCAGGCGAGCAGGGCAGACACCCTGTTAGCGGTAGTGAAAAGGGAGCCCGTGGAGCAGCCAGGCGATGGCGCGCGGCCGGACTGTGAGCCTGTAGGGCTAGAGGAGCCAGTTGAGCAGAGTAGTAAAGCCTCAGAGCACGCGGAAGCCTCTAGCGAGGAGGTCGCGGAAGCGCCCCCGGAAGCCTCAAGCCCAGACCCCAGAGATAGCAAAGAAGACGTGAAGAAGTTTGCTTTTGAAGCTTGTAATGAAGTCCCTCCGGCTCCTAAAGAGTCCTCAGCCAGTGAGGGCGCTGATCAGAAAATGAGGTTTGTTTTTTCTCAGTTTTAGACCAGACGCTATCTCCTTTCCATTGGTCATTTAATGACACACATAAGCTGTTTTTTCTGCAATTGGCCAGCCAGACTGATGCAATTGTAGTTTACTTCTAAGCAATGTTTTATTTCTCTCTGTGTATTTTTAATGGGTGAATCTATTTCTTTTCTTTTTCTCAACCTATTACGGTTGTGTTCTTAAATTGTTAACTCTTATCTTCAGCTAAATCCAATTGACTTTTAAGAATCTGACGTTGTATTTTGGGGGTCAGATTTCCCATAAAAGCTTGCAAAGGTGTCTTAAGATTTTGTTTCAGACTAATTTTCTGGTAGGTATTCAGTTTTAGCACATACCATACTTTTAATTTAGTTCTCTTTCGTTTTTTTCCTGTGTGAGTAACATTAACTTTTGTCTCTAGCTCTTTTAAGGAAGAAAAAGATATAAAGCCAATCATTAAAGATGAAAAAGGTATGATTTAACTTACGGAACAGGGAGCCACCGGTGGGTCCCTTATTTGGGGAGGGAGGGGCCTGCGGGCACCCACGCTGGGGATACCATCATTGGTTTGATTGAGGATTACCGGAAGTTCCGTCTAACAGTTACTCTGCGAGACTAGACTTAAATGTTGGTGAGCCTCCGTGGCTTCTGTCTCGTTGTGGGTGTCATTTATGAGCCCGTGAGAGTCCTGCTGCCCTGCGTCCCATTCTCGTCCTGTTCGGCCCACTATAATAATGGAACGAGATCATACTAACTGCCGTCTTGGTTGAGAATTGGGCATCAGGATTCATTTCCGTTCGCAAGTGACCGGAGCTGATGATTCCTTAAGTAAGGAAACGGTTGCTGCAGCCCGTATTTTTGGTCTTTGGGTTGTCGGCACCAATTGAATTCTTAAACCAGAAGAGTAGGATTGGGATGCGGCTGGGGTTTAAGAGACGGCTATGTCCTGAGACGTCGCACCTCCTGTTAGGCCTGGAGCCAAAGCTTGGTCCTTTCCCCCCTGCCCCAGGTCGTACCGGCAGCGGCTCTGGCAGGAACCTGTGGGTCAGCGGACTGTCCTCCACGACTCGCGCCACCGATCTGAAGAATCTGTTTAACAAGTATGGAAAGGTGGGTGCTCCCTGACGGCTTGCCACCCGGCCTGTTGGACATTTAAAAATAAATGCAGGAATTTGAGGGGGTCCTTTTTCTATTGTTAATCTGGTCGGTGGTCTTTTCTGTTTTGGGGGCTCGTGTGTACATAAGTACGTGCACACGTACATACGTGCGAAAAACGAAACTGCAAGGGAGAAAAGGCCCACCCGGTTTTGGGTAGCGGGCCTTGTTTCCCGGTGAGGGCGGATAACAGCCAACAGGTAGCTGGTCGTATCACAGGAAATGTGTAAATAGTTTGTTCTCACTTCTCTTAAAGAAACTGCTGGGTTTTGGCCTTTACAACAATTGCAAGCTGGCCTGTTGGATTTTTTTCCTGAACAGTTAAGTGAAGAGTTAACTTTAAATGTTCCAACATTTTTAAACACGTAGTTCAAGAACTGGAATACGATAGTGGTTTAAAAATAAATCAACTAATACACCGTCCACAGGGGCAGGAAGAAAATAATACAATTCAGAAGCCTTCCAAGGACTCGACGTTTAAAACCGATTTTCATTGTCCTGGATTTAGAAAATGAAGCAGTTTCATTTTAGGCCCGGGGGGATTGCCCTGGTCTCCTGGGGGTCTGTGGGGAGCGGCCCTCCAAGGGGGGAGCAGGCGTGGGGTACCCCCCTCCCTCACCCCGCCCCTGGCATGGAGAAGCTGCCGGGGGTCTGGGCAGAGCCTCCCAGATGTGCATGCCCACGGCACCCATTCGCCTACATCTGTCCCTGACGAGGAGTCGGCAAAAGTGCCAGTGACTTAAGTGGACGGACCGCGGGAGCAGCGGTTGTAAGACGAGTTTTACTTCACAGTGAGTGTTTTAGGAGGAGCTGTAGCCTGGTCCTTAGTCATTTCCTTGAGTTAGCCCCCAGTTGTAACGAATAGTGGCAGATGTCAGGTCACTGTCCTCATAGATCTTAAAGTTCGTGGAGAAACCGTGTGAGCTGTCAGTGCGACACGGGCGCCTGGGAGCCCTCGGCTCAGGTCGGGATCGCACGGCGTGGAACTCGAGCTTGCATGAGGCTCTCTGCTGTTAGCACAGAACCCGCTTCAGATCCTTGGTCTGCCCCTCTCTGCCCCTCCCCTGCTTGCTCTCTCCTGTCTCTCTCAAAAATAAACCAGCATTGGTGAAAAAAGTAAATCCAAACATCCGAGGGATTTATTAGGGAAAGTACAGCACGCCTTCAGCGTTTGGGGGAGGGGGGAGACCAGGTTAGATGTGGGTCTGGGGCTTGACGCACCTTGCCGAGTAGGTGCTACTTACACGAAGCCCAGGTTATTCTTGCTCTGGCCTTACCCGCGGGTCTCGTCTGTGGACTAGAGCCGTGGCTCGGAAGCACCAGGGTAGGACAAGTCTGCGTTGTGGATGAACTAGTCAAAGGCCACTGTGGGGGCAGAGGGCAAGGCCAGGGAGACAGGGACCGGTGAGTGTGTCTTGGATTCTGCTCTCTCTTTGCCATCAGAAGTGATGTCCTCGCAAGAGTAATTAGTTTGGTGGGAAGGTCATGTGACCCCACAATTGGCTCAGCCTCTTGACCTTAAGAGTGAAGAATAGAAGAGATGTGACATCTGAGAGAAGTGACATCTCTGTCCCCTTCAGGAAAGTCCATCACCTTTGGCCCCGTGTGAGGTGCTCTGGACAGAGGGGGGCTCTCCTGTACTGGGAGAGCAGGGCTCCCCCGTACCCGCGAGTGGGAACACGGTCCCTGGGGTCTGTCGGGAACCGGAGACGCCGGGAGGGCCCCCCGCCCCACCCCCACCATCAGCGCTCAGGAGGGGACCCAGAGCTGCAGAGACGAGAGGACTTGCTCACGTTGACCCAACCCAGGGCTCTTGCACGCCGGCCTGGGTGCAGGCTGTGCCCTCAGCTCTCTAGTGCGTCCTGCGAGAACATCGATGTGTAACGTGGGCACTCACATGGTCAGGTTCAAATCTGCTCTGGCTCCGTGTCTTCTCTCTGTCTGATCCGTTTCTCGGCTTCCTTCTCTTTATTTGCTGCGTTTTGCATTGACTGTTCTTTATGATTTGTTACTCCCTAGCTATACCTAGCATATGTAACTATGTTATCATGGTCCGGTTTCTGGAGGTTGTAAAATTCGGTTGCTTCTTTGAGTTTTTCCTTGTGTCTTGATGAGGGCACCTGTCACTGTGAGCTTGCTCTTCGCTGCTTTTGCTGCATCCCGTAATTTGTGTGTTGTTGTATTTACTTTTCATTTGTCTCCAGGTATTTTATTTCAGCTCTGATTTTTTTCTTTCACCCGCTGGTTGAATTGTAACATTTTTTTCTTTAGTGGCCGCATTTAGAAATTCTATTAAAGCTTCAGCTTGGGGAGCCTGGGTGGCTCAGTCGGTTAAGCGTCCAACTCCTGATTTCGGCTCAGGTCATGATCTCACGGTTTGTACGATCAAGCCCCACTTTGGGCTTTGTGCTGACAGTGAGGAGTCTGCTTAGGATTCTCTCTCTCTCTGTGTGTGCATACCCCGCCCCCCAATTCCTCTCAAAATAAAAGACAGTTTGTCCTTCGGTGATACTCCAGTCCCAGAGGCGTGCGAGCCTTGTCACAGTGCACCGCCCTTCTTCCCTCCCTGACACTGTGGTTCCTGCCCTCGTGGTCTCTCTTCTGTTCAGTAAACAATATAGTGTATTGTTGGCATATTTACATGGCCATAGTGCCCGCTGGGCATCACTTCACTCCATCTTTAAACCTTTCTTAAGGTACAGGCTTGCCAGTGATGAATTCCTGCTGCCCTTGTGTGTCTGGGAACGTCATTCTTTCGCTTTCATTTTGAAAGCTGTGTTCACTGGGTGCCAAATCCCAGGTTGGTTGATTTTTCTACCAGACAGCAAAGCTGCCCCTTCCTTCTGGCACGTGTTGAGTCTGACCTGTGGCTGTCAGTCTCGCCTTCGTCCTGTAGGGCACAGGTGTCTTTTTTCGCTGGCTTACCTGTAAGAGTCTCTTGATCACTGGCTTGAAGCGATTCGCCGCTACGAATGTGCTGGCGTTTCATCCACCAGGTCTTTCCTGTGCTTCTTGCCCTTGACGACCCTTGACTGTCCTGAAGCCCGCTGTTGCTCTGGTTTGTTTTCACATGTTTCATCTCTTTTCTTCCATTTTACTTTGAGTAGTTTCTGTTATGTCTTCAAGTTCCCTTAACGTTTTTCTCTGCCGGGTCTGCTGTCCATCCCCTCTAAGGTATTTTCCAGCGCCAGAATTCCGGGTTGGGTATTTTCAAATACCTTTTGAGTGGTTACCCAGCGTGCTGAGTGTTTTCTCCAGCATCTTGAAGGTTTAGGATATAGCTAAAATAATTTTTAATATTGTTGTCCACTAATCGTGTTACCGAGTCAGTTCTGAGTCTTTTGGTTGGTTTGCTTTCTTTGTTAGAGTCCTTTTCTGCTTCTGGGCCTGCCTGGTTATTTTTGATCAGACATCAGACCTCGTGATTTACATGTATTCTAGTTAATTCGTGTGTCCCCGTAAATGTTCTTGAGGTTTTGCTGGGACGCAGTTCACTTGTTCCTCAGATTTGCTGTCCAGCTTCATTAGCGTAGGTTAGTCAGGTCAGTTCGGCTCTTGGGGCAGCACCCTTCTGCCTTCTCAACCTCATGCCCCATAAATTGTGAGCTTTTCCATTCCAGCTATTGGGTTCACTCTGGGTAAAGTGAATCGTTGGAGCCCCAGAGCAACCCCTAGGGACCATTTGCTCTGCTCTTACAGGTGGTTCTCTCTGTAGCCTTGCGTGGGCTTCTCACATGTGTGCGGCTCCCCGCGGCTGTCTTTAAGCACCACTCTCCTCTTCGGCACTGAGTTCTTGCTGCCTTGATTTCTTCAGACGTTGACTTGTGCTCAGCTCTGGGATACCACCCCTCACCCCTCCTCTGGCCCTCCTCCCTCCCTGGCCCTGGCCTGGTACTTCTAGGAAGTGAGCGCAGGCAGCCATACAGCTTGGCTTGCGCGTGTCCCCTCTTGCAGGTCTCCATCCCGCGTGGCCTGGTGTGCAGTGTCCGAAACCCCTTGTTGCCTACTTTTCCTCTAGTTTTCTAGTTCCAGGCAGCAGGAGGGCAAACACTTGGTGTGCCAGCCTGTCTGGAAGTTGAAGTCCAGTTGGAGACAGTGATCCAAGTAGAATGGACTTTTGATTAATTACTGAGTTGTGGTTGGTGAAGTTTAAATGTCTTTAGCTTTCCTTGTTTGTTTTGTGTCCCTCCGAGGGCCGAGCTTGTATCAAAAGCAGTTGTATTTTCAAAGGATGAATTAGAACCACGTGAGTAGCTAGTCATGGAGAACTGCCGATTTGTGGAGAAGTAAACACTAGCGGATGTAATTATGGTGATCAGTTAACCGCTCAGCAGTTTTGACAAATTGTGTGGTGACCTGTATGGGAGAATAAGCGTGCCCTTTCTCGTGAAGGTTGTCGGGGCCAAAGTGGTGACCAACGCCCGCAGTCCTGGAGCTCGGTGCTACGGGTTTGTCACCATGTCGACATCTGATGAGGCTACAAAGTGCATCAGCCACCTGCACAGAACTGAGCTTCACGGAAGAATGATCTCCGTTGAGAAGGTGAGGCCGCTCCCGCCTGCCGTAACCCTCGGAGCTCACAAGCAAGAAGGCCTGGACGTGAGCCATTTCTGTCCGTCTTGTGTTTTAGGCCAAAAATGAACCGGCTGGGAAAAAGCTGTCCGACAGAAAAGAGTGTGAAGTGAAGAAGGAAAAATTATCTAGTGTTGACAGACATCATCCCGTGGAGATCAAAATTGAAAAGTAAAGTGATTTAAAACCTTTCTCGGGGCGCCTGGGGGGCTCAGGCAGTTGGGCGTCCGACTCTTGATCTCAGTTCAGGTCTTGATCTCACGGTTTTGAGTTGAAGCCCTGCACTGGGCTCTGCGCTGGGCATGAAGCTTACTTTAAAAAAGAAATTAAGACTTTCCTCTTTACCTTTCTCTTGGGAGTGGTCGGGAAGAGGGCAGGCCACAGGGTCATTCCTCCTCTCCAAGGACAGCCTGCCTTGCCAGCTTCTCATTGAAGTGTCCCAATTTGTGCATCCTGCTGCCACTTGAGTATTTAAAGTTGTCGAGTGAAGTAACACGTAACTCTAAAAAATGTGTTCAGAGGATCCTTAATAAGCATTTGTGTTCAAAACTTAGTCTGTTGGGGAAAAAAAAAACACAAAACGGAAGAAAAATAATTTTGTAACTTTAAGTTTATTTTGAGAAATAGAGAGTGCCAGTGGGGGAGGGGCAGAGAGAGGGAGAGAGAATCCCAAGCAGACCCCACACTGCCAGCGCAGAGCCTGATGCCACCCGTGAACCTACAAAGCCTATCTGAGCCAAAACCAAGAGTCGGACACAAAACCGACTGAGCCACCCAGGCAGCCCGAGAGAGTAAGAATTTTACTTCACTCTTACCGTTCTGGGTCCTTGCACAGTCTCTCAAACCGTGGAATCGTTTCCTGATCCAGACTGGTTCCTGCTTTTTATCACAGCGTCATCCAAAGGAACATAACCTGATCTAATATTGAGAAGAATAGCTTCAAGCTAGTAGGTTGTGCGGAATCTGACAGTTGTCAGGTGTTACGGTGTGTCCCTCAGAAACATCAGGAACCTCTGGATACCTGTGACTTCACTGTGGCACCCTACTGGGTACCTTGGCACAGAAGTTTGGGAACTGTGGGCCTGAGACACCATCTATAAAGATGGTGATTTATGTCTTTAACCAACACGGAAATAGGGACAGACGGGTCATTCGGAGTAGGCATTGCTTACTTACACATTTTCGCAAAGTCATAGGTTTATCTTCCGGAGACGGTAGGTTTTGGTGGTAGTGGTACAGAGCACAGCGCGTTCATGTTGTCTGTGCAACCTACTTGCACACCTAAGGCCATTCTCGCTGCAAAGGTTAAAGCCATTGCTGAGAACCAATCTCAGTGATTCAGTTTTGCCTTTGTGTTTCATGTTAAGAAAATTTATCGTTGACTGAAGATGTGGGCATCACGAATACTCATAAATTCAACTCCGTTTTTAACGGTTTAATTGCCAATCTTCATTCCAAATTAGAATCTGTGGGCCGGTGAGTACTGGGGGTCAGAGTAGCCTTCAGTATCTACAGGCAAGACCAGTCATTCTATCAACGACTTCTCCAAAGAGACACGTTCTGTCAGCAATTCTGAACCTCTGTGTGTCAATCATCAGTAGCTGTTCAGAATTGTCAGGATTCTTGGTGTTTGGGAATCCGTTTCCTTCCTTGACTTTCTGACGACACAGCAAGCTGTGTCCGAACGAGAGGAAGTGAGGATAATTAGCTGACGTGCATCGGGTGCACCTTGGTCCCTGGAAAAGTTTGGTGTCACAGAGGGAGCAGGCTCCAGGCTGGAACTGCCTGGCTAGGAAGTGACGAGGCCAGGGCTCGGTCCCGGCCGGTCCCCCCTGCGCTGCGGCGCTAACCAGGCAGTGAACTTGGGGTGCTCGCACCAGACTGCCTTGAAGTGATATGACCGGGAGACTGAGAAGTTAACAGTATGTTTGGAGCTTATCTTTGTCTTCCAGTAAACACTTTCACTAACCTTTCCTTTCGTGTTAAGACTTTCTAGGTTTGGTAGGCAGCCTGAGCAAAAGAGAAACCTTTCCAAAGAGGGGGCTTGTCTTTGCGCTCCCGGATGAGCAGTGCGTTCGGTGTGATTGCCGTCGGGGCGGCGCATGCGCGTGTCCAGCACAAGCCCGCTGCCCGACGGCATCCCCTTTTTGTGTCTTTCCAGCCTTCTTGCGTCCGTATACGTTTGTATTTTAGAAAGTACTTTTTTGACTTGTGTTAGCAAGGGGTCCCTCTGCATCCAGGAGGTGCCGTGTGAGTGCAGGACGAGTGGGAGGGGTCTCCTCGGAGAGGGAGGCACCACCGCAGAATGGTGAGGGACGCGCACCACAGGTCATTCATCATGGCTTCATCTGCAGCCACATGGTCACCTGCAGCGCTCTCTGTCCCTGTTAGAAAGGAAGGGACGTGGGCTGTGTCGCCGTGAATCTGTGTGTATTGGCCGGCACGGACCTGAGGCGAGACGTGTGGTGGTGCGGTCCCGTCCTGGTGATGCTGGGCTGTGGGGCCACCCACGCGCCGCTCGGCGTTCGCCCGGGTGCTGGAGCCCAGTGCTCGTCAGGAAGGGCCCCGTGGGGCCGGCACAGGGAAATTCCTTGAGTAAGTCGACATGCACACAGTGTTTGGGGTTTTGGTTTTGTTGGTTTTAGCGAAACCAGTATGCTAAAAAATACCGTTATTTTTTAACGTTTACTTTTGAGAGAGTGACAGTGTGAGCAGGGGAGGGGCAGAGAGAAGGAGACGCAGAATTCGCAGCAGGTTCCAGGCTCCGAGCTGTCAGCACAGAGCCCGATGCGGGGCTCAAACCCACAAACCGTGAGATCATGACCTGAGCCGAAGTGGGATGCTTAACTGAGCCACCCAGGCAGCCCCAAAAAACAGGTCTTGATTCTGGTACACACTGTCAATTGTTGTGTGTGTTTACATTTTAAAAATATTTGAAAAGGGGCAGCTTGTGTGGGTGAGTAGGTTGAGTGTTGGACTTTTTCCTTGAAAGTATTTTGAGCAAGATTGTGAGTGAGAGAGGGGCAGAGGGAGTGAGAATCCCAGCAGGCTCCTCACCGAACATGGAGCCTGCTTAAGATTCTCTATCTCTCAGCCCCTCAGTTCACGCAGTTAAGCTCACTCGTTTGCTCTCAGAAATAAAAATTAACAAATTTTAAACGAGGTTTTTCTCAAAGTGTGAATAAAATTAAGAGGTACTGTGGAAGTTGAGGCGGGAGGAAGAGTGACTTAGGAGAGGTGTCTGTGACAGGCTGAGCCCTGTAGGTTGTAGGGGAGAGGGGCGGGGAGCCCTGGGTAAGGACCCTGAGGGGCCTCACTTTCCCGTCCTGGACTCTGCCCGGCACACAGCGGGCATTTAACGTGTGAGATTTAATTACCCGAGATGACCGCATTTGGAACATGGGAAACAGGCGGCAAGGATTTCTTTCGCTGCTAGAATAAAGCTGCCTTCAGGGTGAGATGTCACAACAGTCTCCAGCCAAGCCAGGATGGAGCCTGCCATTTTCACTCCCCCAGAACACACAGAAGCGGCCAGGTGTGATGGTCCGGGCCGGTGGTCTGCCTCCTGTGTCACGGAGCCACCACCTCCCGTCCTCAGCCTGTGCTTCCATTCTGTTTTATTTTTTAAAGTTTTTTGTTAATGCTTATTATTTAGAGAGAGACCAAGCATGAGCAGGGCAGGGGCAGAGAGAGGGAGACACAGAATCTGAAGCAGGCTCCACGCTGTCAGCATAGAGCCAGAAGTGGAGCTCAAACCCACGGACCTTGAGATCATGACCTGAGGGACACTCAGCTGACTGAGCCACCCAGCGCCCCTCCATTCTATTTTGTACTGTATTTATTTGGAAAAGGATGTTTTTCCCGCACACACAGTGAAACACTTGAAGGTAGTTTTTAACGTGCATTTGTACGTAGCTGCAGCGTTTCTCGTGTGTGTGTCTGCTTGCTGGTCTCCCGTCCCAGTGCGTCAAGCAGTCAGGACAAAATGCTACCAGCCTGCAGTTCAGTCCTGCTTGGTTCTAGACACAGCAGAGACCCCCCAGGGGGAGAAGGGCTCTGTCTCCCAAGGCGACATGGTCACCCAGTCTCTAAGAGCTACACACGCCCACTGGCCGCGAGGCCAGTGGGTTTCACGTGCAAGTCTGCGGGTGTGTGTGCTGCCATCCGAGTCCCGGGCACTCATGTGGGACAACTGTGTTTCTAAACAGAACCGTGATTAAGAAGGAAGAGAAAGTGGAGAAAAAGGAGGAAAAAAAGCCTGAAGACATAAAGAAGGAAGAAAAGGACGAGGAGGAGCCGAAACCAGGACCTCCGAATCGGTCCAGAATCACCAAATCAGGTGAGCGGGGCCTGGTGGGCACGCAGAGGTGTCCAGGATGGAGTGAGCGCGGTGTGCCAGGCTGGGGGTGGGGGGGCTGTGACAGCAACGCAGTCTCGGGGTGACGTGGCCTGAAGGAGTGTCCTGGGCGCTCTGCCCGATGACCTGCGCTCACTAACAGTTTGGCAGAAGCACTTTCGGCTGCGCGCGGAGGTGTCCTGGTTCCCGTAGGGGACGCGACGCCGGTCCGCAGCCGTGTGGCCGGTGTCTCCTGTGCGTGCGTGCAGCCGGATAGAGTGAAAACCAGGGTGAAAGCGCGGACCTCAGAACATCTGTAGCCTTTGTCATAGCTGGACGTGGGGCGTGCCACCTCTTGGCGTTTCATAAAAGTTCATTGTGTTCTGCGCCTTCAGATTTGCATGAGGCTCCATGGAACGTTTTCTGGAAAAAATAAAATCAATTCTCTCCTCTCCTCGTGCCTCCCCCCCTCCCCCCCCATAAAACAAAACTCAGCCACCTGGAGCATTGGAACTAGGTACGGCGCATTGCAAATTAGATCTCAGCGTTTGGTGTAATTCACCAGCGGTCTTGTGAGGAACACATTTTTAAACTGTTGCTCACGTATTGCAAATCTCCCCAAATCGGTGATAGTCCTGGTGGTTAGAGGCTGGTTATTGTGTTGTTGAGGGGAAGGACTCTGTTTGGAGGCCTTTATTGCTGTGGCTGAATGACGGGAAGCCCCACATCCGATTGGGAGCACGAGGGCCTGAATTCTGCTGAGCGTTCCAGGATGTGGAGGAGGGATAAAAATCGAAATCAGTTACCCTGGAGCCGCTGGCATTTAGCGCGAGGGTAAAGGCAGCTTGGGGGTTGGAAGTGTTTGTATGGCAGAACACACCTTGGCTGAGGTTTATGTTGCCAGATGTGAAGAAATCCCAGCCACTTCATTCCAGGTGAGCAGAGACCATCGAGGTGCGCCAGCTGCCTCGTGTTGGTGGCGCGTGCTTCGTGTCACAACAGGCAGGAGGAGGGGGCACAGGGGTTCCAGAGGTTCGTGTCAGTCCCTCGAGGGGGCCTGGAGGACCGCCAGTTAGCCCGCGTGCTGCCTGCTCCTTGGAAGCAGGGGCCTCAGCAGGGTGTCATAGACCGCTGTTTTTTTCCTGAAGGAAGCAGAGGAATGGAGCGGACCGTCGTGATGGATAAATCGAAAGGAGAGCCTGTCATTAGCGTGAAAACCACAAGCAGGTCAAAAGAGAGAGTAAGTATTGCTTCCGCCATCTCAGGTCCAAGTGATTTGAGTCGAGGGTATTTAACAACCACTTTGGTTTACGTAACGAAAACAGCATTGTTTCGCCTTTAACATTGTAAGAGTCCTTTGATGTGTTCCGAAGGCGTGTTATTAGCTGTTGGATGGTCTGTACAGACACAAAGTGAGGTTCTAGAGCTAGTTTCAGAAGAACACTGAAGGCTTTTACTTCCCATCATGTGTTCACTGTTGGCCAATTCTTTGTCGGGTTACACCGTCTTCTAGAAGAAGAACTGATTCCCAGAAAGCTGGCCACTGGGTAGATGGGCAGGACCCAGGCTATTGAAGTCAGAAGGCAGGTTCTGCTCTTTGGTTAGCCTAGTGGGAGTTGATTCATCTCTTCAGGCCATTGCTTCATCTTCTGTGACGTTAACGGAGAGAAGAGGGTCCCCTGGAAAATGACTCCCACTGTCAGAGGGCAGACCTCCATCTCCGTGGCGCACACGGCTGGACAAGCTAGTGACTCCTGTTCCGTTTTTTCCACTCTGAAAAGCAAACTCCTCTGCCAACCAGCTGAAGGTTCTAGCTACACCATTCCTGAGGAGGGCCGGCCTCCTCCTGAATTCCAAGCTTGCGGTATTCATCTGAGAACACTTTGTGGTGCTGAGGCGAATAAACCATAACCTCACCACGTAGATCACTCTGAGGCTAGAAAAATAAATAGTAACCTACGCATGATGAGAACGTTCAGGTGGTTCAGGGAGTGACAACACATGTAGAACAGAAGCCTCTTTGCTTTCACACGGACTCCTCACACTTCCTTTCTTGTCTTTTTGAGAGAGAGAGTGCGAGTGGGGAAGGGACAAAGAGAATCTCAAGCTGGCTCCATGCTCAGCGCAGAGCCTGGTGAGGGGCTCGGTCTCATAACCCAGAGGATATTGAGAGTCGGACACTCACCAGCTAAGCACCTGGCATGTATGCTGGATTTCGAAATAATTGTAGCTTCATAGGAAGTTGCACAAATAGTACAGCGGTCCTGTGTGCCCTTCCCCCAGCAATTTCCTTTTGTGTCCCTGTAGCACAGAATCGAAGCCAGGGTGGTGACATTGGTATCCAGCGTGGTTGTGTGTAGTACTAGGACTTTTTTGTTCCTGGTGTGGACCCCCGGGGAATACCGCCACTGTCCGTACGCGACTAGCCCTCCATACATGACTAGCCCGTCACCACGGAGATCTCCTCACGGCCACGCCCCCAGCCCGGGGAAAAGCAGCTGTTTTCCATCCCTAGAATGTATACAAACAGGATCGTGCAACACGTGACCGCTGCGTGGCGCCCTTGAGAGCCATCCGGGGTACACGGTGTCCTTTTTCTTTTCAGAGCTGTGTTTACGGCCACGCTATGATCGTTTTGGCCAGGCCCGTGGTTACAGACACTTGGCTGTCTCTGGTCCCCTGCTGAGCACCGCTGTGGCAGGACGTGTGTGTGCACACCCCTTGGCAGACTGGGGGCTTCTGGGTGCAGATGGGCACGGACGTCATTCGTGATGACTGTTGGCAGAGCAGTCTTCCGGAAGGCAGCAGGACACGCTACAGCCAGTCCATGGTGGCATCCCGTGCCCCGGCTGCTTGTACGTGGGAGGGGTGAGCGCAGGGCTCCGACTCTGAGACACCAGCGCCATGCCGGCCTCTGCCCAAGGTTGCCCTCACCTGGACAGTTGGGGTGTCTGTCCTGCTGCCTTCCTGCAGTGCCCGTGATCAGACCCTGCTCACTTTGCCCATCATCTGGAGGAAAGGGATCATCATGGTGTTTTGAGCTGTGGGTCTTTCTGTGATGAGATTGTCCTCTCTGTGTTCCCCCCTCCTTGTTTTTTGTATTTTGGTTTTGTTTATGTTTTGTAAAATTTCCGTTCAAAACTTCTGCTTGCCTGTCTTTCGGGTTGCTCCCCCACTCCCACCACCCACGAGGTAATTAAGAAAATAAGCCAAGGAAAATCCTTTTAAATGTCTCCCAGGCCCCTTCCCTAGAGACTGGGAGCTGTGGGTCTGCAGGAGGCCCCGCGTTCCGAGCCATAAAAGCCTCCTGGGACAGTGATCGTGGCCAGCACGGGCGTCCCAGCCCCTGAGGGCCTCAGGAGGGAATGGGGGTGGGGGATTTGTGTTCTGAGCCCTGTCTGGACATGAGAGTGGCATGGAAGCTGCCCATGGTAATCTGGAGCCAACTAGGAGTGCTCTTCTACGGGAAAGCACCCTCAGCCTGTTCTGTTCACAGGCCGCCTGCCCAAGTCCGTGGCTGAGAAGTGTGGCCCGTCACACAGCTGTGTGTGCAGCGTGCACGTGCCCCATGGCTCCCGAGGCCTCGTCCCAGACTACCCCGCATCCTGGGCTCTGCCTCTAGGGTCTGTGGGCTGTCTTCCCCCTTCCCTTCCGTGACACCCCGTGTTGGCGGCGTGTGAAAGCCGCACTCTGGAGTGAGCAGCGGCGCCTATGGGTGAACCGAGCTGCCTGCCGGTCCTTCCCGGAAACCATGTGGAACAGAAGCTTTTTCGTCTGCCCCAGATATGTAGCTATAACTTTCACTGTGCGTTTGCTGCATTTTTCTGATGTTAACAAACCGATTTTGGTAAACAGAGCTCCAAGAGTCAGGATCGCAAGTCGGAAAGCAAAGAGAAGAGAGACATCTTGTCATTTGATAAAATCAAAGAGCAAAGGGAGCGCGAGCGCCAGAGGCAGCGGGAACGGGAGATCCGAGAGACGGAGAGGCGGCGGTGAGTGGGACCTGGCGGGCTCGCGGTCCCCTCGGGGGCGCTCGGCCTTTCTGCCCGAGCGAGTCTCCTGCCCGGCCCGGGCTTGACTCCTGCCTCGTGCTTCCCCGGAGACGAGGGCCAGGGGCGGCTTCGGCCTCGGCAGGACGGTAGTGGAGCTGGTATCTGGCCAGCAGCACCGCCCCTGGCGCCCAGCGACCCCGGCCTGTGTAGGCAGCGCACCCGCGGGCGGCTTTGGTGCGAGGGGCCCCAGCGTCAAGGCCACGGCCTTCACTGCTGAACCCCCGCAAGTAAGATCGAAGATGCGACCAGGGATGGGGCGCTTTAGTCGCAGACGTTACCCCGAGGAGTGGCATTCTCAGGCGGCCTCGTCCACAAGACCTCCTTTGCCATGCACCCCTCTTTTCGTTAAGGGGACAGTGCACAGAAGTAGGCCTGTCGTTCCCGGTTTTGCTTTCTGCCATTTTCCGTCCAGAGGTCCCTTGTCATTTTCCCTCATGCACTGCTCGGCAGAACGAGAGCCTCACGTCGTGGTGTTGGGAGAACACGTAGCAACTGCTCCCATCCGTCGTGCTGTATTTGCTTCCCTGACACGTGTGGTTCTGGTGTCTGCACGTGTAGCTTCGGAAAGTAAAAACCCCGTTTCGGGGTCTTTTGTTTCCGACTGGCTCCCGCTGGCTTCGGAGCCTGGCTGAGGACGGGCAGGAGTGGCAGCGGCTCCTTTCGGGATGCAGGGGCGCATACCCTGTCCCTTCCTCCCCGCCCTCGGCTTCCGGGAAGCAGGGACTGGTGACATGGGAGCTGGTGGCAGGCCGAGTACCGTGGGCCCTCTGCCCGTGCCTGGCCTTCTGGCCCACAGCTCCCTGGCTCTGCCCAGGAGGACCCTGTCCTTGGCAAACGCGGCCTCCTCGGAGGGAAGGGGTGAGGAAGGCAGGCTCGCTCTGGGGCGTCTGCGGTTACTTGTTCCTCCAGGGTTTTCTCTGTGCCCAGCGGCCTTCGTGGTAGCAGTTCTCCGCTTTTCTCACTCCTCCCCTTAACGTGTGGCTTCACTTTGGGGCCTGGCAGCCGAGTCCTCCTGGCTGCGCCCCCTGCCCCCTTGCCCTCTCCCTCCCTGTGCTCCCTTGTCTTGGCTTTTGTGAGAATCGGGAGTGGGGGGGGGTCTGGCCTGACGCGGGGTCCCTGGGGTGCGATGGCGGGGACTCAGGCGGCCCCACCGTGTCCCCACAGGGAGCGCGAGCAGCGCGAGCGGGAGCAGCGCCTCGAGGCCTTCCACGAGCGGAAGGAGAAGGCGCGGCTGCAGCGGGAGCGCCTGCAGCTCGAGTGCCAGCGGCAGCGTCTGGAGCGGGAGCGCATGGAGCGCGAGCGGCTGGAGCGGGAGCGCATGCGCGTCGAGCGCGAGCGCCGCAAGGAGCAGGAGCGCATCCACCGCGAGCGCGAGGAGCTGCGACGGCAGCAGGAGCAGCTGCGCTATGAGCAGGAGAGGCGGCCGGTGCTGCGCAGGCCCTACGACGTGGACGGCCGGTGAGGACCCCGCCCCCGCCCCATCCGGGCCTCCGGGCGCCACCCCCACCGGGGTTGACCTGGTTTCTACTCCGGCCCTGCGGTGTTTGCCGAGTGGCTCATAGGGAGTCTAATGGTCGCCGCTTGAGGAAGGGCGCGTGGTGCTGTCGCTTAGCGAGGCCCGTTATAGTCACCCCGCGGTTCCGGGGGAGGGTTCCCCGCCGATCCCCCCCAACCCCACACACAAACGCAGGCGTCTCTGCTGGGGCTAGCGCCCCCTTCCCCCTCCCCCCACCGGCCAGGGCGGGGGAGAGGCACCAGGCTGCGCTTGGAAAAGGAAATTGCCTTCCTGTTCTCAAAGTAGGTTTATTGGTCTCCAGCTCCTTCGAGCTGCTTAATTGACGGTCACCCATCACCCCACCACCCATGAGCCTAGTTTTCTGGTAAAAATCAGGAGGAAGATAATTGGATGCCATCCTGAGCCCCATGCAGTTCACTGTCACCCAGTCTAATCCCTTTGCTTTTGCAAAAAACTCAGAGGGAGGTTCAGGTTACCATAGAAGACAGGAAGGTGAAAATGTAGCAACTCGGAATGCCATTCCAGAAGAATCAAACATTTCATTTCACTTGCATCTGAGCTCACGCGGGGATCAGGGTATTAACAGCCTTGTGATACAATTAGCTCCCAGCAGCCCTCCTTTCAGGACCGTCAACTGAGAATACCGGCATGCCTCTTGGCAGTTTGGAGGATTTTAATTTATCAAATCAAAGCGATAATGATTGAATGTTTAGAGATTAGCCCTGCAGGACATTTTAAATGATACTGGGTCTGGAGAGAGCTCCCCTCCCCACCTCCACCCCCTTCCCTGTTTCCCTCATTCTCGCTCACAAATGTAATTCATGTCCTTTTAAAAATGAAAAATAGGCGAGATGATGCTTATTGGCCGGAAGCAAAGCGTGTGGCCTTGGAGGACAGGTACCGCCCAGACTTCCCTCGGCCCGATCACCGCTTCCACGACTTTGACCATCGAGACCGGGGCCAGTACCAGGACCACGTGGCTGACAGGTCAGCACCCACCCTCTCCTGAAGCCACGGACGGAGCCAGCTGAGCCTGATGCAGGGATAGGTCTCTGTTCGTTCTCAGATGTCTCTCTCACCTGGGAGGCTCCGCGTGGCTGCTGAGCCGCGGTGCGGGGGGCTTAGCAGCACAGGCCTTGGGCAAGGCATTGGACTTGGGGCTCACTTAGGGTGTCCTCCACTTGTGTGGCAGAAGAGCCCTCCTCTTACTCGTTGCCCCCTTCACAGATCGGGGGCTTGGGGTGATCTGCATCTCAGCACTCCCGCACTCCGCTCTCCGTGGTCCACCCTTGGGCCTCGCGGCTCCCTGGGGCTCTCTCCCAGCCTTGCTCCTCCGCCTTGTCCCCCTCCTCGTTTTTACAGTGAGGAGGCATTTAGAGAAGCTTTCAGAAAGGCACCCGAGCCTTTGCAGGCAGGGCAGGCTGGTGTCCACGTCCCTGGGGATCCCTGACCGACACAGGCTCCTGCACCGGCGTGGGGTGCAGGGACCAGCCGGACGACGGGGGGAGTGCTTACTCGGCCGGCTGCATCCGAGAAGGGTTTTTAGTCGGTCCCTTTGTCTGTCTTCTTAAATGAGGACTATATATATAGTTTATTAGAAAGGCAGCCCTCAATTTTCCAGTTTCAGGATTCCCTCTGGGCTTCTCCGCGTGGTCCCCTGGGCTGCATATCCCTAAGCCATTTCACCGTCCATTAGCTCCTTCGCAAGCGAAGGGAGAGCAGGGGAGAGACAGGCTGAGAAGCCACTCATTTAATGGATCGTGGCTGCAGTTGGTTTGAGAATGCTGTGAATCGTGTATGTGGCCAGACCAGAGCTCAGGGACCCTCTAAGGCTTCCTGTTAGGCTCTGGATTTTGTCACCAGGCCACAGGTGCGTTAGTCTTTGGCTTCGTGGTGTGGGTCTCTATATCTGAGATCCCTCCAAGGGACTTCAGTAAAATTTTTATTCCCACCTTCTTAGGATCCAGTTCCGCTCCTACTCCGCGGAAGAAGGCTTTAGATGCAAGCCGGCTTTTTTTCACAGGCCAGCACTTTACAGTTGTTATTTGTGAAATAGAATAAGCACCCGAATTGTGGAGTTCTTGTGTGTGGCCTGCCGAAATGTTGTTTAGTGCGGTCAGCAGCCGTTGGAATGAGATGTTTCTCTTTTGCAGGAGGGAAGGATCAAGGTCAGTGATGGGAGAGCGAGATGGGCAAGTAAGTAAACCCGGACGCCGAGCCTGGGGCGCACCTGCTTCTGTGTGGGGGCGGGCAAGGGTGAGTGGAAGTGCGCATAACTGCTTTCCAGTGGGGAGTTGTGTGTGTGTGCGAATGCGCAGGGTGTGTTCGGTTCGATCGGGCCCTAGCAGATGGCTGGCCTGGCTGGGCTGCGCACTGGCCTAGAGCGTCCTCAGGCTGGCGCTGTGAGCCGCCCCACAGTGCCCCAGACGGGCTTAGCCTGTCAGGCATTTTGCCCATGTTGGGGGAGGTCCCATGTCCGTGGTTACAGGTGCCCTGAGAGGGACGCTCAGAGAGGGTCAGGGGTGGGCATCGGGGTCGTGCCTTCTCAATATCGCGGTGTGGTTTTTGCGGGAACGTCCTGTGAATCTCTCGCTACAAAGACGTCCTGGGTCTTTGAGCACAGGGTGGGTTGGTCAGAGGCACTGAGCTGCTCCTATCGTGGCCCCTGCCCCCTGGGGTCACATAGCAAGAGAGGCCGCTGCTGCCGCCCAAGGAGGGGACGCACAGCGGTCTGAGGGCGCTGCCTGTCCCAGGGCTGTGGGAGGGGCCCACCTGGCGTCAGCAAGGAGGTGTCCTAAGTGACTCTTCTTGGGGACCCTCAGCGGAGCCCTCAGGCACCAGCAGGAGCAGGGCTCTCTGCACTCACAGGGCCAAGGCCTCTGCTGCCACTTGTGTGGCACTGGAGGTGGGGCCCCAGGGGCACTCGAGCGTTCTCTTGCGGGGCGGGGGCAGGGAGCATAGGGCCCCGCCAGGAGCTCCTGTGGCCTCGCCAGCGACCCGGGCAGTCCCCTCAGGGCCACACCCCGGCCGGCTGCGGCTGCGGCTGCAGGTTCATGGGCCTGTTGAAAAATGGTGTGGCTAGTGTCACCCTGTCCCCTTGTGCTTTCCAGCACTATGACGAACGCCACGGCCACGGAGGACCACCAGAGCGTCACAGCCGAGAGTCCCGAGACGGCTGGGGGGGCTACGGCTCCGACAAGAGGATGAGCGAGGGCCGGGGGCCGCCGCCCCCCCCCAGGTGAGCAGCGGGCAGCCCCTGGGGTCCCTGCCTGGCGAAGGAGGCTGCCCCGGAGCCTTTCGTAGACTCGGCCCAGGACACTGCCACCTGTCCCCCAGGGGCCTACAGGTGTTTCTGAGGCCGGGGTCGAGCTTGCCACCTCCAGGTGGTTTCTAGGTGTCAAGTGAAGGGAGCGCCCCTCCGATAGAGGAACGAGGAGACGCCATCTTTCTCGGGCGACCCGCTTATTAGCTCTCAGTCCTTGAATATCATTTCAGCCATTTTGCCTTAAATACCCTTGGGAAACCCAACAGGGAGCTCCTCTGCAGACGAGGGGACGCCGAGCACCGTCGCTGTAGGGCTGGGTGGCTGTCCCCCAGCGCGGGGCGGCGCTCTGGTGCACTCCTCACCCGCGGCTCTGGGCACTGGCTGCCCCGGCAGCCAGTGCTCTGGCCCTTCCAGACTCGGCCCCCACTGGCGGCCGCTGGTGCCCGCACTTTGGACTTTGTTTGGACTTTCACTGTGAAACTTGTTTTTTTTTAAACAGCTTTTGAGCTTTGTTCACGTGCCACACAGTTCACCCATTTGAAGCGTGTGATGCGATGGTTTCCAGCATATTCATGAGCTGTGTGCGCATCACCGCGGTCCACCCCCAGGGGAAGCCCCGTAACAGTCCCGCCCCGGCCCCTATGCCCACTGATGCCCCGTCTGTCTCTGGGCCAGCCTGTTCTGGGCATTTCACACAAGGGAAGTCACGTGTCACGGCCCTTTGTGTCCGGCTTCTCTCAGTATGGCGTTTTCAAGGTCCAGTCACACAGTCCTCTGGGGCAGAGCTGCATTCCTTTTTATGGCTCAGTAACTGGGCCACTTGTGGAGAGACCACGTTTTGTGTCTCCCGCCCATCAGCTGCTGTACATCGGGGTGGTCCCACCGTGGGGCTGTCAGAGCCCCGCTGCTGAGAACAGGCACCCACACATCTTCCTGACAGCATTTCCCGTCGCCTGGGGTGGGTCATGGGGACGGACTCGCTCGGTCCTGCGGTCAGCCTGCCGCACCGATGTCCGTCCTCACCAGGAAGCACCTAGCGTCTGTCAGTGTGCCCCCAGCCAGCAGTGCGTGTGTGGGGGTCTCATCCGTGCGCGTGGTTGCGGCAGTCACTGTGCTTCCTGGCCACGGGGGTCTCTGTGGGGGCGTGTCTGTTCTCGTGCTCTGCCCTTTTCTCTCCGAAGTCCTTGACTGTGCTAGGGCCTCCCCTCAGAGGCACGTGGGACCCTCCGAGAGTAGCTTTTTGTTCTGACGCAGGGGTGGGCGTGACTGGACGGAGCACCACGGCCAGAGGCTAGAGGAGCATCAGGAGCGCGTGTGGCCGGGCTCGGTGGACGCAGGCACGGCGGGCCGGGAACACGCGCGGTGGCAAGGTACAGGCTGGCTCACGCCCAGGGGTGGAGGGGTTCCCAGGACCCTCCCGGGGGCCGGTCCCTCCCGCGGTTTCAAGAGGCATCAGGGCACTTCCACGAAGGGAGTTTGTGCAAACTCTTTCCTTTCTTCCAGGCGGTGAGAGGGGCCTATCGGGGCCCTCAGGGCCAGGACACATGGCAACTCGGGGCGGGATGTCAGGGTAAGTTTAGGGCACAGATGAAATTGATTTGTTCCCACCCCTCATTTCTCCTCCCTTCTTTGCATTTTGGTCAACTTGCTGGGTTGAGTGTTTTAAAAACAACCCCGAAAAGCGGCTCTTGGCAGCTTTATGCAAGCCCCATTCTCTGCTTGCCCGGCGTGCGGCCTGTGACTCTGATCGTCCGCACCCGGAAAAGCCAACAGACTCGAAAGGCTGCACAGCTGTGGGCTGCACCACGTACCGATGAAACGTCAGGCACTTCAGGGGGACCAAACGTGTGCCTTTGTTTCTAGGCGAGGCGGCTTTGCACAAGGCGGGCATTCCCAGGGTCACCTGGTGCCCGGCGGCGGACTGGAGGGCGGACTGGCCGGCCAGGACCGGGGCAGCAGAGTCCCGCACCCACACCCCCATCCCCACCCATACCCCCACTTCACCCGCCGCTACTAAACCCAAACCACTCTGAGTTTCCAGGTAGGCAGAGGCACTGTTGACTCTCAGCCACGGTTCCCTTGAACTTGTGGAGTCTTTTAAGAAACAAAAGCAAATCCTGCCACCATGTTGTAGCTCAATACGATGTGAATTCGCTTTTTTTTTTTTTAATAAACGTGTTGTTCTCTGACATTTTTAAGACAAGATTTCTGTTAACGAGGCATTCCATTTTCCATTAATAAAAGTTTATGGTTCGCACTGGTGTGTCCGCAGTGATTCCAGAGCAGAGAAAACGGCCAGCCTCAGCGGCACCATCGTGTGTTTGCATGGAGGCCCCCGTACTGGGTCCTCCTAGCCTCCCCTCCTTACAGAGAAGGGACAGTCACAGAGCTGGTAGTAGGTGGCAGGCCTGAGATCCGAATTAGGGTTTCTTTTTACTTTTTAAATACTTGTTTTTGAGACAGGGAGACAGTGCGAGCAGGGAACGAGCAGAGAGAGGGAGACACAGAATCTGAAGCAGTTCAGGTTCCAGGCTCTGAGCTGTCAGCACAGAGCCCGACACAAGGCTCGAACTCCCTAACCGTGGGATCATGATTTGCCTGAGCTGAAGTCGGACACTTAACCTGAGGCACCCAGGTGCCCCAGAACTAGGATTTCTTGATCGAGGGAGGGGGGCGTGCACCGGGAGCCCCACAGACCAGTAGCTTCACCCCCTCGCGCCGGCGGGCCTGGGGTAGGGGGCGTCCAGTGAGGTGTGCGGGGCTGGTATCTGGCTGAGGGCAGGCCCAGCGTTTCATATGTAATTTCCTCACTTGTGATTATAAACAATTCTTTCTTCACCAAAGCCTGCCCAACACGGGCCCTGGCTGCTCCAAGTGCCGGGCTCGAGCCCTCCGATCCGGGCCCCTCACTCAGGACTCGGCGGGAAGAGCTGCTCCCAGAGAAGAGCTGAGCCCGTGCCAGCCGGGGGCGTCCAGGAGCCAAGCCTGTCCTCTCATGAACGGGGGAGGCCTAGTGGCCGCAAGCCTGGACAGGGGACCTGTGGGGGAGGCCTGGGGGTAAGCAGGAGCGCCCACTTCCCACAGGTCGTGGCCCTGATCCGGCGTGGTGAGAGTTAAGCCTCGCGCCACCTGCTGGGAACCTGGATTCCGTCAGTAACTAGGACAGCCGCTCCACGGGCGACGGAGCACCTCCTATTCTCGGAGGGGCCTGTGTTCCCACCCCACTGCCCTGTTTAGTTGCAAAAGAGCAATCTGGAAACCCTGCCTGGCTTGCTGCCGAGCGCGGCCGTTGGAGGCGGGTCGGCGCTGGCCTTTGGCATCTCGCTCGCCTGGATCACAGCGAGTAAGTCCCTTGTGAGCTTCCCCCGCCCGGGGGGCCCTCAGAGTCATTTTCCAACGGCAGGTGGGCACAACGCCGTCTCTGTGTCACCTGCGAGGGGCCCCAGCTCATGAGTCTAGACACGGCTCTGAGCCTCCTGTGTGGGGTAACAGAACCACGTTCCGCCTGGGAGTGTGGGTGAGATCTTGTCACCCAGCTGTAGTGGAGCAGCCGCCCTGCAGGGGGTCAGGGTGACCATTGACGTGACCGGTGGCCGTCAGCCGGGGCGCCTCAGGGAGCTGCAGAGGTGACAGCCCCTAGGGCTGTGGTGACATGGTGCCGGAGACGGGGGCCTGAAACCCATGCATTCTCATGGCTCCGGAGGCCGGAAGTCCACGTGTCTGGGCCAGTCCCTTCTGAGGCTGTGGGAGAGTCTGTTCCACGCTCTCCCAGCTTTTAGGGGGTCACCGATGGTCTCTGGCGTCCCTCGGCTTGTTGGCACGTCTGTCACCCAGAACCCCACCTCCACCGCCGGCCTCCCCACGCACTCGTCCTTCGCCACATCGCCCCCTTCCGGAAGTCCACTTGCTGATCAGGTGGGTGGGGGCCCACCCGAATGCCCTCATTTTAACTTGATCACCCACAAAAGGGCTTTATCTCCAAATACAGTCCCCTTCCAAGGTCCCAGGGGCCAGCACTTCAGCACAGGAACGGGGCGGGGGCACAGTCGATCCCTGTAAGTGCTTTTCGCGGTTTTTGTACGTACAGATCTTTCCAGATTGAAGTTTAATTATTTTGAGAGAAAGAGCACAAACAGAGGAGGGGCAGAGAGGGAGAGAGAGGATCCCAAGCGGGCTCCACACTCGCCCAGAGCCCAACCCGGGGCTTGATCTCCCTAACCGTGAGGTCATGATCTGAGCTGGAATCACGAGGCGAACACTTAAAGCTACTGAGCCACCCAGGCGCCCATCCAGGACACAACTCTAAATACAGGGAGAATTGCCCATCAGTGAGTCCGGGACCTTAGCAAGAGTCCCCCATTCTGGGAACAGAGCTGCTGGGGGGCTGCCAGGGTCCAGGATCCTCCCAGCTGCCTCCTTCCTGGGTTGGAACTGTATGTGCACATGTGTGACTGAGCGCTCGGTCAGGTTCGTGCCGTGACCAGGCCCTGCGCCTGAGCATTTATGGGCCGAAGGACACCATATCTGTCAGATGCTATTTTCTAACTTCTGTTTTTGTCTGAAATGCGTCGTATTTTTCTTTATTCTGCGTAGTTAATTTTGTGTATCTGGTCTGATTTTTATTTCGGGAGGAGAGGGAGGGAACCAAGCGTGTGTTCTAGAAGGGGACTGCTAGTGCGTATGGGGATCATTGGCACCTCTGGCTCGAGTAAAGTTGCTTGCAGTGAAGGTGGGTGTACACGTATTTGCTCACGCACCTGTCGCCCAGCCTGGGTGAGGCCGAGGACAAAATTGTGGGCCCCTGCGGTGATCCTGTGTTTAACTTTTGAGGAGCCACCCGTTTTCCACAGTGTGGAAAAGTTGCCATGTCCTCACCAACACGAGCTTTGTGGCGTTAGAATAGCCGTCCTACTGGGCGCGTGGGGATACGGATAAAGTGTCCGTACGCTAACTCCTGCCACCATGTGGATGGACCCGGGGGTCACTGTGGGTGAAGCCAGACACAGAAGGACATGTCCTGCGTGACCCCACTCACAGGGGGTCCCCAGAGGCGTCCCGTCCGCAGAGACAGAGTGGATGGTGGGGCAGGGGGTGGGGGACAGTCTCGGTTTGGGGAGAAGAGAAAGTTCTGCACACAGGCGGGGAGGTGACCGCACGACTGTGAGTGTGCTTGACTCTGCTGACCTGTGTATTTTATCACACAAGAAAATTTATTTTGAGAGCGAGAGAGAGCATGAGCAGGGAGGGGGGGCAGAGAGCGAGGGAGACACAGAATCCGAAGCAGCTCCAGGCTCCGAGCTGTCAGCACAGAGCCCAGTGCAGGGCTTGAACTTGTGAACCGCGAGATCATGACCTGAGCCGAAGCTGGACCCTTAACTGACTGAGCCACCCAGATGCCCCTAAAAATATTTTTTTAAAAATGGGGGTTCTGTGGGGCATCATCGGAGCAGGAAGCACTGGGTGGAGGCCAGAAGGGCCGGCTCAGGATGCACCCGTCTGCCTGTCTTCCCGCAGGGAGTTCATGGTCCCTCTGCCTCGTCTTCCTTAAGTGGAAGAAGAAAACAATAATAGTATTTACCATAAAGAGTCTTGGTGAAGAATAAGTGGGTCAAATACATGAAAACCTCAGAACTGCCCTGGCATACAGTAAGTGCTTAATATTGGGAGGCCCTGCGGGAAGAGCTCCCGGGGTGCTCCCTCGTGCTGTTTGGAGAAGCTGAAAGCTGTTTTCACGCCTGGAGAGAAGGAAGGGAGAAATGATCGGCTCCCAAAATAAAACCAAAATCAGAATTAATACGTTATCAAATGTCTCCGCGTCGACACGAATGCGTCAGCCTCATCAGCCACTACATTTTGTTCTCGTACAGATTTCCTTGCGTTTCACAACAGGTGCTGGGTTACGTTTTCTCGCTCTGCAGGAATTCCCAAGCCTGCGTCATGATCGCCAGGCTTTAGTTATGTGTGTTATACTCCTAGTCAAAAAGCCTCAGACACAAAGGTATAAAAAGCCTTTTTGGGGGGCGCGCCTGGGTGGCTCAGGTCATGATCTCAGTGGTTGTGAGTTCGAGTCCCGTGTCAGGCTCTGTGCTGACAGCTCAAAACCTGGAGCTGCTTCGGATTCTGTCTCCCTCTCTGCCCCTCCCCTGCTCACGCTCTTATGTCTCTCTGTCTCTCTCAAAAATAAACATTAAAAAAAATTAAAGTAGAGGCGCCTGGGTGGCTCAGTCGGTTGAGCGTCGGACATCAGCTCAGGTCATGATCTCGCGGTTCGTGGGTTCGAGCCCCGCGTCGGGCTCTGTGCTGACAGCTCGGAGCCTGGAGCTGCTTCGGATTCTGCCTCTCCCTCTCTCTCTGACCCTCCCCGGCTCACACTGTCTCTCTCTCTCAGAAATAAATAAAAAACATTTAAAAAATTTAAATTTTATTAAAAAAAGTTTTTTTGAAGATTTTCTTTTAAGAAAATTCTGGGGGTGAGGGGGGCCTCCTCTGATCCTCCTGGTGTTGCACCCCCGCCCCCCCGTCCCCACTCCACCGGGTAAGATCACCCCTCTGAGTCACTGGGTCACAAGGTGATGGTGACTCACCGTGACTGGTTTGGACCCGGGCCGTCTGTCACCGGTCAGGTGGGTCCACCGCTCAGCTCCACCTCTTGAGCTGTGTGTCCTTGGGAAAGTGACTCAGCCCCTCTGGAGCCCACCGCTTGCCCATTTCTTGAAGGGGCGTGCTGCCGTCAGCGGGGCAGGGTTTGGTGGGTGAGCCCAGCAGGCCCGTGTGCCGGGTGATTCCCTCCTCTCCCCAGAGCGCTCTGCTCATTTTTACGGCTGGAGCGTTTCACGTGCTTGCAGCGTGACTGGGTGTGTGCCTTTCCTGCGGCCGCCCTAACACATTAAGACAAACTTAGCAATTCAAAACAAACACAAACTTTTATCGTGCGGTTTTGGAGGCCAGACGTCCTACCGTTCACTGTCTGCAGGGCCCGTTCCTCGCGGAGGCCACGGGACATGAACAGGTTCCCTGCCCCTCCAGGTCCTCCCGCACCCCGCGCCCCCTTCCATCTGCGGAGCCTGGCCTTTCCGGGTCCCTTCTCCGACCACAGGCAGGAAGGAGCCCGTGGAATCGAGGACCTTCTCCCCGTCTCAGGATCCGTGATCTCAATGGCTCCTGGGGAAGTCCCTTTTGCCCCGTCTGGGAAGCATGGTCCCAGGTGCCAGAGATGAGGATGTGGGCGTCCTTGGGTGGTGGGGGCGCCTCCAAGCC